ATGCCATCAGTATTAACAGCTTATATGGTATTGCAAGGATGCAAATTCTCGGTGTTTAACAAATAAATTGAATTTCTGGTTACACTTAGGTAAGCGATGTAGTAAAGTTTCATTAGATCGGATTTTCAGTCATTACAAACCAATCTAGAGCAAGCAATTAACTTAATTACAATGTAACAATCGTATCACGCTCTGAATGCGACAGTCTGCATATTTGAAGTAAAGTAAATTGTTGAAGGAACAATAAGTTACATTAACAAAATTTAATTAAATTTCGGTTTTCAAGTTGGAGCTCAACAGTATAGAATTAATTAGTGGGTAGTTGATCGAGATCTTTGTGTGCGATATGGTTTTTGGTAACTTATTTCAATGTAAAATGTGCTTCGGAAAAACTATGCGAGAATATCGTAGAATATTTCGAGTATTAAAAAAGCTTTCTTCTTTTTTTAAAAAACAAACTTTAGCATAAAAATTAAGTGAATTACAATTAAAATACAGTAGATCCGTACTTTTTTCAGCGAAAAGAAAGCGCAAGCAACCCTCTAATTACCACCCTAATTAAAATTAGTCCTTCCCCTTTCGCAGTTTTCTCTAATAACCTTCTAGAAGTGTGACCAGTTTAAAAGACTTAATTTTGAAATAATTTAAACTAAAAGTGAAAAACGAATTTTTGCAATTTTGTGAAAAACCTCCTTCCCTTCAAAATAACTACAAAACAACTGGAGATCCATAAAAAATGCTTACAGCATCCAATTATAGTTTTTTTTATTCGAAACATTTTCCTCACCGGGAATTTTCTGTACGACAAAGTGAGATATAAACGTTTAAAAGGTGTATGTATATGCGAGCACTACCTTGTTTTAGCCCTTTAAGCTCACCCCATTTTAAAACTAAAAGTTTTAAAGGAACTTGATGTAAATAGCCTTGTAGCTTTTGTAAAAACCTACAAAATGGTCCTTTAATGCATTTTCTATAATAAAAATAAACGAGTTATGATTAAAAAATGAATCACAGTTTTTTTCGAAAAATTCTGAAAGCACAAATCGGAGCGTGATGATCTACATGACCTGAAGGCAGTGGCGGATTCAGCAGGGGGCAAAGGGGGCGATTGCCCTCTACGACAACTCAAAAAGGCTTGGCGAAAAGTCAAAAAGCACCCTTTTAAATGTTATAAACAACTTAATTTACAGTATTTCCATTGCATTCTCTACTTTTTATCTTTCAAAAAATGTGCACTGCGTACAATCTGTTCTCCGTAACCGTAATTGGGAATGGAGCGTCTTTATGACCGAAGTTAAAAGTTTCATATTCACAATGTGCCCCTCCTGAAAAGGTTCTCTAGATCCGCCACCGCCCGTAGGTATATATTTCGTACAGTACACATTAGAAACGTACATACACTACATCCATTCCATACGCCTATACACTATGCAATCTATATACAGGGCGATTCAAAAAGAATATCTCTCCACTTTGAAAATCTGAATTTGAATTGAAGCAACAAAAAAATCATGGCTCAAAATGAAGAGTATTACAGTAAGTTTTTTCCCACTATAAAATAGGTTCTCAGATGCTGAACATGATGTCAGGATGATGTCAGTGATGACAGGAGTCATTATAGACATTTAGCAATGTGACAGGTGCAGCCGAAAAAGTGACAGAGCATAATAATAATAATATTGCCTCTATTTAACAAAGGAAATGAACAAAATAAATAAGTTCAGATTGACAATAAAATAATGTCATCTGTTCTTCCACTTAACGTTACTATTTTGAATGTCGATTCACAAAAAAAGAAGCAAACTACATCATAAAAATAAGTATAGAGTATGAGAAAAGATAATGATAAAAAAAGATAAATATAAATTGCATAAAACTAAGTGTACTAGTCTTACCGGTAGGTATAAATATTTAGAAATTTGAAAATGGAGCACTTACCTGTATTTGTTGTTTGTAGGCTGAGCAGATCTTTGTGAATAGTGGATGTAAATGTTTTTATGGAAAGCGATTTAAGGTTCACGAGTAGTTTATTATACACATGTGTAATATAACAGGTGAAAGATTTTTTGAAAGCTTGTGTTTTAGATGAGGCCGATAAAGTGACAGGCAGCGCAACGAATTCTTTAGTCGTTTCTTTCTTGGTACAAAAACTAAAGCAAAACAGTCTTCTTGAGAATAAATGCGTCGATAAGGCGTTCCTAGCTTGTGACTGTGTTTTCGTGACATGTCCGCCATTACTCTTGAAAAACACATTTTCCGTTGATTTCGATTTTTTGTGAAAAGGAAAGATGCACTTTGGGGTAGTAGGGACGTTGATAAGGGTTAAAACCAATGTTCATTCTATTGCACCATGTAGTTATCATACACAGAGTTCACAGGATGTAACGGACGGTTCTTATCCTTTGTTTCTCGGCGTCGATGTCTGTGGAAGTATTTCGAGACTTTAATTATACGTTTATACTTCCATCCAACTAGCTCAGGTAAATAAATAGGTAAATAATAGGGAATGATTAAGTTAATTTTGATCTTCGCAAGATATTACTACCGAAATGGATACTCTAATATGCCTGGAGGAATTACACTGACAATTGTCACAATAGCTCGGGCGACAATTTTGGATCTTTTAACGACAAATCTTGAGACATTTTGGTGACAAGTGTTTTTAGGGTAATTGCACCCTGCTGAATTCGATTTTTCCTATCACCACCTCGAAATCCGGCTGCTAAAGCCCCAAATCAAGATGGCGCCCAAAATGGCGACTAAAACCCACTATCAGATCGTTTTCTTGTTGTAAACAAAAATATTATCACGATTTGTATCTAGTACATACGTTGTAGGTACTATTTATTACTATTTTATAAAAAAATGTGCAGTCAAAAAAATCAGGATGGCGGTCAAAATGGCGGTAGAAACTTGGGTTAACTAATTTCTTTAATTGTGAGGGAAACATTGCATTTTTTTATATGGGAGTGGTACAAGTTGGTCAAAATGAGTTTTGTCTATCCGCCATTGTTAATAATAATTTTCGAAAAAAATAAATCAAAATGGTTCCCAAAATGCCGGTATGTTTATGACTTATTTATATATTTTAATAAGATATTTTAATAGCAAATTATCGAAATTTTTTTGAGTGTAGAGAAGTATTAATAATTTAATTTTACAAATAGAACGCCAAATGTTGTTTACACAGCGTTTAAAACACGCGGGTAATTACCTAAGGACCTTCTAACACGGCGACAACGCGAATCTGCTGGCTACAGATGCGACAAACGTCCGGCAAGTTTTAACTAGTTTCAAAAATGTGCCAAATTCTTGACAGAACAGCTTCCTAGCTCAACTCTTCACCGTTTAACGTCTTCAAACGCTTTTTTTTACTCTTGTTTGTGTTACTAATACACATTACTAATAATTCATATGTCTAAAGTCTATAAACACAGAGCTCCTTATCCAAACGATACGAAAGGATAAGAATGAAATTTTACAACTTATCCTTAGGTAGAGGGTACTGATATAGAAAGATATTAAAAAAAGTGGTTGACAGTTTTACATTCTTTATGCCTAATGTACATTTGCAAAATTTTAACGAAATCATAGTAACTGTTTTTGCGAAAAATTTTTTTTAGTTTTTAACTTTGACATTTTTTTTTCTCCGTTTTTTTATGATAAAACCTGGCACAATTTTTGTAGGTTACACACAGAAAAATAAGGTCTTTAAAATACTTTAATAAAAAATTTAGTTTGCTATTTGAAAAAAAAAGTTCGATGCCGTTGCGGCACTCAAAAATTTTGTTCAAAAATCCGGTCTGTTAGTTTTCGTTTCCGTATGACTAATAACATATTCAAAATTTGAACAAAAACCGTCAACCCGTTACCTCGCATGCACGTACGTACAGATGGAAATCGTTATTTGTACAACTAGAGAAGAAAGTGGACCCTTTTTAGAGACGAATGTAGTTATTTCTAAAGTAGTAAACAAATTTTTCTTTAAAAGTTACTTAAAATGATCTAAAACGTCGATATTTAATGAAATTTTAACATGTCCAAAAAATGGAAATCGCATTAGCCTTCGGAAAAATGTCCCCTTTGCAATTAATTGACTGGAATACTATTTTAAGTGCAACTGAAAGGCGAAAAAATCTATTCCGGAACGAAAACGCTCACGTCATCCAAAGAGTATCAATTTTGAGGTTTGAAAAACAGTCGTCGGTATATCACCGATCGAATTAAAATCAATCCTCTTGATGTTTTTGCTCATTTCTAATTTTTTAAAATTATGTTTTGTTTTCGACTTATTTTTTATGCAGAATTTGTATACGGTAATAAATAATATGAATTTAAACGAATAATAATTATTTTAATCCTATACATCGCATACAAAGGGTCAAATTAAGCGCGATACTGTCCCCTCCATTTTGCATGCCATTTTTTAAAAAGTTTAAATAAAGGTACTGTATTTATTTTTCACTTAAGCAGGCACTTTTCAAGCAAATTATAATTCTTTTGCTCACTTAAAGTAAACTAAATCAAGACTACCACAAAACTTGGTATTGGGAGCGCCATTTCAGCCGCTATCTTAATTTTTGTTGGTTTCAAAATTTTTCATAAAATAGTAATAACTGGAAAAACGTATGTGTTACATAAAAATCATGACGACATTCTTGTTAAAATGTTAAAGTGTGTTTTAGTCGCCATTTTGACCGCCATCTTGATTTGAGGCCTTACCAGCCGGACTTCGAGGTGGTGACAGGCAAAATCGGATTAGTCAATGTCCAATTACCCTAAAAACACATTAAAATTCTTTGTCTCACGATTTGTCGTTAGAAACCTTACAATGCGCTTTACTGAATTTCTCGCCCGGACTATAATTCAGTGTACATTTGAATTTCAGAATCTATTTGTTCCTGTTAATCTTTGTAATAATTACGATTGCAAAAGAATACATTAATTAGGATACATTTGTTTTAATTAAACACACAATAAAAAAACCTAAACCTAAACTATCCAAACCTAAACAATTCTAATTTTTGAAAACACTTCAGCACTTCAGTCTCCGGGTTAAATTCGAACTTCGTAAATAAATTGTCATTAGTTCCCACGCAAAGTTCTAAAATAAGCAGGGCGTTGGATTTTAATTAGTATAAAGGAATATTGTCTTTTACCTTATGAATGAAGTCTCTTTATTCAGCTGGAGTTGTTGAACTTGATGATTCGGTCGATGTCGAATCGTGGAATTTTCTACGACTCGCAAATTGTCGATGGCCACGTCCTGTTGCTTTGAAATCTGCAACCCTTCGCTGCAGTCTCCTCGGATAAATGGACAGTATATTGCACGTAAATGGTGATGCAATTTCTTCCGCGCTGAGCGATTCGATTAGTTGGCAGTCGCTTTTTCACACTTATTGATTGGGTATTATTGTCCTAAAACGACAATAGTTTTAGACGCCTTTTTAAATATTTCTCAACGTTAAAATGGTACGCGTTAAAAACCTGCGCTTACAACGACCACAACGACTTAATTCGCACTGATTAAAATTTACCGTTCCTCTCTCCCCGCTGCACATTTACACCTTTCTCCGGTCAAAGTACATTTCCTCTATTCTAAATTTAAACCTCGGTTTAAACTTACAACAAATGATACATTTACAAAACCTAATATACATTATATACAGTTAATTACAAAATTTTATTCCTTCAAGCTCAGGTTATGTGTAATTAAAAATATTCACACCCAATACAAGGATAGAGGGGACTGTTTGGCTCATTTATAGCGAATTAATTAATTTTTTTGTCAGCTTACCTTGATGTTTCGATCGAGCGCGAAATGCTTGGTCTAGTTGTAGGTCATCTGAAATGACATTTCATTTGTGATATTTGCAAGGTATAATAAACTGTTTTAAATTATTATGAATAAACTGATAGAGGAGTTGAAGAATTTATATCTAAATTGCGTGTACTGAAACCTGGGAAGTTTGTTACGGTCTATAGATCCTCGGGTAGGTATATCTTGTAGGTGAACATAAAGTAAGAGGCATGAAAAAAATTGTGTCGTTGCACATTTTCAGTTATATGTCTATTTAAAAGATCTTTCTTTGTACAGCGTGTTGATAGAATGTCTTTCGTTAGAAATTTATGTTGGATATGTCGACATTCATTCCACTCCCGTTTGCTTTCAATCGCAAATTTACAGTAGAGCTTTTGAAAGCGACGGTGTTGTATTTCGCTCAATTGCCATATTAAATTCTTTTTACGAAGAACATATTCTGGTTCTTTTACCGAACGCCACCCTGAATTTTCCTTATACTACGAGATGCAACTGACGGAATCTGATACCACGATGCTCAACCTCGGCCAGGGACATAATTAAAAAATTTGGTTGGACAATGAGGTAGTACCCACAACCGACCCTTTAACTTTGGCAAACGATTCAGGGTGAGATTTTCGAAATGATGAATATCGCGCCTTATTAAACATTGCGTGATTGAAATTATTAACCGGTACGACAGAATATTTTATACAAAATCGATAGTACGTATCTCAAGGTGAGGATGCTTTGTGTGAAGGTGTACAGTTAGAAAAACGCACTCGTTCAATTAACGCCAATCTAGTTCATGAAAAATTTCACTAAATTAATTGACGTAAATAAACTACTAACCACTAAAAAAATAGTGAAGTTACTAATAGTTTCAGAAAATATTTGTGTCATGGCGCTCGATGAGAAATATAAACTCTTCAGTAAAGAACAGTATCGCAATGCGATTTTGTTGGCATTGTAGTGGTACCAACTCAAAATCAAAGAAGAAAGAATAAAGCAGATGACGCTTTAGTCCAAGACAGCTTTGTAACCTGGCGAATTAACATGTTCTGGAAGAATAATAAAAAATACTACCCGCATTTAATTTAGAATCTGTTGTCCAGAACAGTTCATACTCAACAAAATTCCATTCTCAATAACGAAATTTAGCGGAAATGGAAAAATGTTACTGCGTAATGTACTTATAATGGTCTGGAAATTCATTAGAAAATAATTTTCAATTTCATTTCACATTGCGCGTTTGATATCTTCGAAAAATGCTGCATTTAAAGTAAAAATCACAAACAATAATATACTAAGCGCAAATGATTACTTTCAGAAAGTAGCTTTCTAGAATAGAGCGTCAAAGATTAATAGTGAGACATATAAAGTGATGCTCGTGTCAGATGTTACCTCATGATATTTCCAGCACAATTTAGTAGTAAAAACTTAGATAATTGCTTCTAGATTATTTCTCTTGTGGCAACAAACTTAAGATGAGAAGCTGAAGTTTGATGTCTGAGGCGGAACGTTTATCCTGGATAATTGCAACTGAAATTAATCAAAATATCAACTATAGTTAATGGTCTCGTGCGTTTTACGCTTTTAATTAAAATTAATTTGTTTCGACGTATATATCAATAAACTAAAGGAACTTAATTATCGCAATTTAGTGTAAATACAGGGCGATTTTTTCGCTATTTAGCGTGATGATGTTGGAAGCTAGGGGATGGAGAAACAATTAACTTGGGAAAGAATTACAATCGCACGCGCTCAATTTAATACGGTGCTATTTTTTTAAGCTAAAGCATTGAATACTTTGTTTTTTTCGATACGAAATTGTAAGTTTGGATTGAGATTAGTGATAATATAGTCATAGTCGGGTCGGGTCTTGTTTTGCGAAAATCCAATGCGAGAAGCACTTCATATAACAATTAAGTTAAAACCGTTACCCCCCTAATTTGACCCGAAAAGGCCGGAAGCGCGTTATTCGAGATGGCGTCCAAAATAGCGCCAAATTTAAGAGTTTTTCTGCTTTTGGCCATTTGTACGCGATCCAGGTGTCTATTTCCTCTGTTTTTGCAGGCGTATAGCACGATTAAGCACTTAAGAATATATTTGGTGGATTAAAACACCATTAAAAGGTCATATTTTAACGAAAATTCTCCAAAAATCGAAAAATTAGGTGGAAATGTGCATTAGATGCTGTGCTATGTTTAAATTCAGACCACGTTTAAATGCTCAAAAGCATTTTGAACAGGTATTTAGGATATTCGTTTAGTCAATTAAATTCTTTCTTTCTTCATCATCCCCACCTGTTTCCATTTACGCACTGCGCTTTACATTTCCACCCAGGGCTCTTTCTTGCATCCACACTGCTTAGTGTTGATGCAGAGTTCTTTACACCCCCAAACAGTAAACTTTCTTGGGAGCGGCCCTTTCACAGCAGAAGTGAATTTTTGGGAGAAACTTCCCTCTTTAGATATTTGTGCGTACTTATTGCGTGTAACAAACACACTCATTATGGGAATGTTTGATCTATCCGTAACCCCGTGTACCTATACGTTAGGGTTTCCATCACCAAATTTTGAAATCCAGGATTTAAAGGTAGAAAAACCAGGACACGCCAAGATGGGAAGCAATGTATCGAAAAAAAATTCATAATTTGTTTTAAAATGTTCGAAAACGTACAAAAACAAAATTTGGGCAAAAAAAATTGTTCTTTTTGTGGATTTTAATGTAATGTTATGTTAGTAAATGTTTAATCACCTTCGATATGTCTCAATGCTAGATAGAGAGCAGCTAGTGGGCGACAACATTAGTGCGAAAGAGAAAACAAGCATTTGATACATTTTTTCGAAATTTTTGGAAATGATCTCCTTCAGTAAATAAATTGCATTTTATAAAGCAAACATAAAATAGACACATTATTTTCTGGATTTGGTTAAATAAGGAATTGACCTTACTTAATATGTAATAACAGTTCAAAAAGTTTATACAGAGGGTTCAGGACTTCATGTCAAATTTCGCAGAGTCGAAATTGCGAAAGTCTAATTTTTTTAGTGCATTTTCGAACCCATGTTGGATGGCGCTATTGTGGCCATTTTATCCGTCCGTCCGTCCGAGACCTTATCTACTCCTTCATGTTTGAGGATACTTAGTTCGTTCTTTATGCATTCGAATACATGGAAAATGCGCTAAAGTTACTCGCCTTAGGGCAAAAACCTTTTTTATTTTTAATGAATACCCCCCCCCCCCTCCCTCTCCAGCCACGGATTGTATGATCTGTATAGTTCTATTACATCAATTCCCTGACAACTAGGATAGTATTTGTTTCTTGACGATTCTGTTAAATGAAAGACAAGTAATAATTAAAAATACTATAAAGCTGTACAAATTTTCTATTTACTCTCCTTTATACAAAAAAAACTGTTCATTTAAACTACCCTTATTTTTCAGAGTGGATTCCATTGGTCAACAAAGGATAGGGGTTGTCGTTACAAAAAAAAAAGGTTTTCGCATTTTAAGTACGAAATTAGGTATGACTGAGAAAGAGAAAGCGTTCGGAACGTATACCTATCTGTACACTTGACTTTTGTTGAATTTTCGTTAAAAATGTCATTTTAATTGTGTTTCAATGCACCAAATTTATTTTGAAGTGTTTAATCGTACTCTACACATCTGAAAACATAGGAATAGACACCTGGATCGCATACATATGACCAAAAGCAGAAAAACTCTTAAATTTGATGCTATTTTGGATACCAGCTCGAATAACTCACTTCCGGTTGGAATTTCGAGTCGGACTTTTCGGATTCAGCGGGATCGAATTAAGGGGGTAATGGTTTTAACTCAATTGTTACATGAAATGCTTCTTGCATTGAAACGGAAAGCTTTTCTTAGATTTTAGCTCCGACTATCAGTCAGAAAAGCCCTTTGTCAGCAATTCAGACCATACACGATTTAATACATAAGTTATTTTCACCAATTAATAAAGCTCGACCTTAATATTTTGGTATGGCCGCGATATATGCCAACCAAGCTTTAGTTAATTAATTAAGTAGTCACCTGGATCCCCGATATAATCTTGATATTACTTAGATACGGAATTTATTTTGGTATTGAAATTAAATAAATAATTATAATGTTAGCTATTGCTGATTATTCAGACAAAAAGCCAGAACCCCCTAGTGCCAGAGCTTTGCAAATCGTATGGTTCTTCATTTTTGTTTTATTTTTAGTTTCATTTTGGCAAGATTTTGTGCCTGTCTGGCGCCCACCCTATACGGTTTTGCATTCGCCCTGGATTGTTTCACCTACTCTTCCCTGACTAGCCGGTCAGTTCCGTTTCCTAACCCTCAAAAATCGCACTCCTTCCGGATACCACGCTCAGACTATATTTGTTATGGACGGCGGCCTCTCTCGCTTCCTCCAGCACCCTTGTTCCTCCCCTTTTGATACCTCCCCTATCAGGTTTACTGCCTTCGCCACGCTGTCGTAGTGGTTCCGGACATTGTTACTCCCTAGTCTGTATGCTATGTGTGTATGAGCGCTACCTTTCGCAATTCCCCTGTTTATCCAATCGGCTTGGTTAATTACCCTCGTGACTTGCGTCCCCTTTAATTCAATTTAATTTTGGCTTTAATTCTAGAGCACTTATCTTTACGCCCTTGGTGTCATGTTGGTTGGAGATTCCTACACTGCCTTGACCTCACAATTTAATTAGATCCTCGCGCGTTATTTGTGATTTGATAAAGACAACTTTCGCTGGAGCTTCGAAAGTTTGAATTATGCCTGGACCCGCCTCGCGTTTCTAAGTTACTTAAACAGCGCTCACTAAAAAGCACGTCTGCACTCGTTGCCGGCCCGAAGTCGAATCCTCACACAAGATTTCAACAAAAACTAAATTTTAAAAAAATCTACTGCTTTCCGCTTTCTTTATATCAATAGATACAGATAAACGAGTGCAGGGAGAGAAGAAATTAAATAAATATTACATCTGTGATATAACTGAACGGGAAATAGGGTACTCCCAATTTCTACGATGAAAGGGGACACCTATTTATGTTTTTAGTAAACCTTGTAAAACATCAATAAG